AGCAAAAAAATGTTCATGTGCTGGGAGGAAGGCAGGGAGAGTCAGGAAAAAAGCAAGCAGAATTAAAACTTTTTGCTTGCCTGCTGCTTCTCTGGTGCAAAACTGCCTCTCTTATAATCACTTTGTAGCAATCAAGCAGCAATCCTGGTCTGCCTACAAGGATCTAGTTTGGCTCTTACTGACCAAATGAACCTTCAATTTCCCACCCTACATCACAACTCAAGGAAGGGAAGGGAAATAGTATAAAAGTGTCACCTTTTGACTTGTTTGGAATGTCGAAGACACGTGAGATTAAAAACAAACAAAAACCCTGTGGTCTTACAAGCTTTTCAAATCCAGGTAACGATAGATTAGACTAATTACAATATGAAGATGGTTTTAGTGATATATGGGTATTGATATTCTAATTTGGATTTTTGTTTCAAATTCCATACGTATTCATAGGTATACTTAACTAAAGATACCCCAAAATCTTAACATTTGAAGCTTCTTTTAATATCCCCATCTGACCCCATATTAAATTTAACCCATTCTTCTCAATCTATTTGCAAGACATTGTTAAAACCATGTGATCTCAATGGGCCTGTGGCTCTACTGTTCACCCAAATAGGAAGAAAGCAAGAAAGAATATTCTTCTCTTGGCTTTAAAGTGCATTATTCTCTCCCATAAAAACGTGTGTTTTTTTTGTTTTTTTAAAAAAGGGAGGGAGAGGTATTTCCATCATGAGGGCAACTATCTGCCTCAACAATGGACACCAAGAAACAGCTGGGAAAGGACATGGCAAAGGGCTGCCAACTTTTTACCTAAAGCAGTCACCTATATCTTTTGAAAGGTACATGGCTGGGAGAGTGCTAGAGCGCCTTTTACGATAGCAAAAACTACATTTTCTAAATGATCTTTGCCAAATAAGTAGGAAGGCATGAGGCTTTCAATACTCCCATAGTAAACTAAACTAGAGGAGATCTGCCTATGGGTATTAATTTCAGAAGGTTCAAATGCTAAAAACTTCAAATGCTGAGTATATTTCCTGCAGAACTACAGCCCCATTTGTATTCTCAGCTATACACTACAATATTATGAATGCTAAAGACACTGGAATGCAGCAATACCCTATATTATAGGGACAAGACTAAACTGACACAACACGCCTGCTTAGCTTGGTCTAATATGTCTGAAATGGAAATGTGGGTCCATGTTTTAGGGCAGTGATGGCAAATCTTTTAGAGACTGAGTGCCCAAACTGCAACCCAAAACCCACTTATGTATCGCCAGGTGCCGGGTGGGTGTGGCCCACTCGGCAGGTGCAGCTACAGTGGGCTTGGCAGACTGGGTGGGTGTGGCTGCAGTAATCATGGCAGATTGGGTGGGCATGGCAGGGGGGGGCATGGCCACCTTGGTGTTGCTTATGGGGAGGTACACCTGTGGGAGCCGGGCAGGATTGGGGGAGATCCAGGGGGTCTCTGGCGAGTGGGATGGTGGGCTCCCCAATGGCGGCTCCAGGCTGGCTGGCCTTAGGCCAGTGATGGCGAACTTTTAGAGACCACGTGTGCTGGGCCGATGGCGCATGCCCACAGAGAGGGCTCCGCGTGCCGCCTCTGGCACGCATGCCATAGGTTCGCCACCACTGTTTTAGGGCATAAGTGTAGGCAGATATATAAAGCAATGTTCTCCATGTCTGCTATATCATCCATCATCCTCTCCCCAAGGATTTTTTCTATCCAACCGAATTCCTGTTATTAGAATTCTTCCAAGAAGAATGTGTGTATGAATGAAAATCTTTTTGTGTCAACAGGTATCCACAGTGGGGTATTGGGGGGACAAAAGATAAAAGCATTGTCACACATTGTAACACAAGCTCCACTCATGTACAAGTGTTGTGATATTGCACATATGAAAGCGGTATAGCTTGCATTGTAGTAGTGGCACTCTAAGCCCAGCTTGAGTATGCTTTTCATCCTGCAAACACCTGTATGTATCAGGCTGTAGAAGTAAACTACAGGAAATAATATTTACTCTATCCTCTTTACATGATTTTTTAAAAACTATAAACAGATTTGTTACCACTACATTCAGCTTGGGCTTCAGTTATAACCCAAACTGATTTTAAAAAAAATTGCTATCACTATTTTTTATTCTTGATGTTCTGTGTTTCAAGCTGGACAAGCTAAGGAGCTGTTTTACCATGCTATTCTTCTGTGTAAACTTTCATGATGTGTATCTATACAATTAAACTTTGACTTCCAAGGATAGTGCTCTGTAAAACTCACCCACACCAAATTGTACCTGTCATACTTTCAATTTCGACATATGTCTGTATATATTTACTATTAAAAAAGTCCCATCAGAACTGACCCCAAAGTAAATGAAATGTAAGGTTCTATTCCATTTATCAAAACAATCTCATAACTTAGAAAAATTAATACATGATAGAAGGTTGTCTCTGCAAACTTAGAAGCTGGAGCAAGAGGGACAATAATTCACTCTAGATCTCTCAGTCAAGTGCAAAGTCTTAGAAATCCCCAAATGCAGCTGAATATCAAAGTATACTGCATTTTTCACATCTCTTTCCCACAGACTAGGATATTTATTGTGGTTTGGGAAACTGTAGATAAGAGACCTCCTCCCCTGCCAAACTAAATTTGTGCCTTTTTTAATATTGAGGAAAAGCCCTTAAAGAGTTTAAATTGTTGCAAAGTAATTTCCTCCTGTTTTTTCCTTGTGCGTGCTTCTTTACATTTTCTATCAGGTTTCTATATGTACTTCTCGGCACAGAGACATCATTCCAATAAATAATGAACTAGTTTCAGAGGAATTCACCATTTAGCAACAGATTGTAGCCCAAATTCTAATGATTAAATAAGAGGCTTGGTTTTTATTCTTGATAAAGAAAGAAGCCAGCCCCAACCTTATTGCAAATCAAGGAGAAAGAGAAGAAAAAAAACTAAAACTTTCAGCTCTGATTACACTGCAAGAAGCTCAGAAAAAAAAAAATCGGGTTAGCTACAGGGCTAATTCTCATCAGTCTTCCCACAGAGAAAACTGAGGTTTTTTTTCTTTATGAACAAATCATATTCTAAGGCTAATAACTTCACTTTGGCTACTTATGCACATAGAAGAATTTTTATTCCAATGTCTGGTACATAGGCAAGAACGGAGAAGAAAAATCATCATCTATGCCAGCGAGGCTCTCTAAGCTCTCAAACAAACATGACTCCTGAGAGCCTGTGTATGTATTTATGTATGTATTTATGTATGTATGTACGTACATATATGACTGCAGGAACTCCAATTTTACTAAGGAAAAAAATTAATATTCCTCCCTCTCAAAATAATTTTCCTGTTCTAAATTTTGTCGTTCCTGCAAGCAAACTGCTATACTAGAAATAGGGGGGGGGGGAAGCCATGATAAGAATCTCTATTTTTCTTCCAGTTAACAACTTGTAAAAGATGAAAGGGCGCATATTTAGACCATAAAATGCTACTGTTCTGAATACTTTCTGACTTTTTAGAGTGCTAACTTCTTTATTAAAAAATTATCACAGATATCAGGATATACGTCTATTAGGGTCCTCAAAGACCCATGAAATAAGATGGATCTTTTTTTTTATCATTTCACACCACTGGGGGATATTTTTTATTTTATTTTAAGAAAGCTACTTCCTGCCTAGACTTTGACTGGGATTCAGTCCTCCTTTCTTCTTATTGAATTATTTGCTATAGTCCAGAAAAGGTAGGGGGAGACACTAGCTTACCTCTGTGCTACATATTCATTTAAACAAAAATAAGCGGACTAGCATGGCCAACGTCCTTCCCCTTCCCTCCACTGAATGCTGTTTTCTGCTATTCAGGAGGGAAAAAATAGACCTTAATTGTAGACAAAGCCTCATAATAAAACGCTACACTTCTGCTGAGCCCTGCTTTTCTGGGGAGTGAGGCGATATGTGCTCAACTGCCTTGGAAGAGCTTGGTTGCCAACTGGAGGGAAATTATTTGAAGCAACTAGGCCTCTCAATTCAGCCATTGCCATGTACCAATCCCACAAAGAATTACAGGTAGTTTTACACACATTGGGCTACTTTCTTGAACAAGAAGTACAGTGGAAAGGTGAGCCAATGTTCAGTCCAATGCCCCATCTGATACACACAGGCACACTTTGTACATCTTTCACGCCACTGCGCCCCCCCCTCCCCAAACAAGTGGACAAAGGCCTCCATTAGTGCAAACAGTTTCCTAAGCTAATATCATTGACAGTAACTGGAAGAACTTCTCGTTTTAAACTCTTAGCGTGTGACAAGCAAACACACACATGCCGTTCAGCACACTCGGATTGTTTCAACAAAATCAAAGGCCTCTCCTTTCAGGATTGACGCAGGAAAGGAGGACATTAATACAAAGCTGCACCTAGTATCCCAGTGGTCTCTTAGCAGCAGAGCTATTCTTGGGGGGGGGGGGGGGAGACAATATTCTTCCTAATTGCTGGCCTAAATGGCAGATGAGGGATATTAGTTCCCCAATATACCACCCTATTTCTCTCTCATGTGTACACATGCGCACACACCCTACTGAAAACTACAGAATTCCAACTAAGACTGGACAACTACATTACATGGCACTAGGGAGGTGGAGTGGAATACACGTGTGGGCCCATCTCCACCTGATCTGTTGATGGGGCCTCTATAATATGAAGGGCAAACAGGATCAGGGCAACAAGCCAGAGTTTGGAGCTATTTCTCCCCCGCCAAACAGCTTGCCTTGTCAGTAGTATTCTCAGCAAAGCATGGCAGAAGGAGCCAGGCAGATGGGGAGAGGGAAGAGTGGGCCCCCGTTCTGTAGAAAAAGTGCAAAGTGGCTTCCAGCCCTGGGAGGCATGTTTCTGTACCCCACACTGTGCTTGTCTGTATTAAAAATGGGGGGAATGAGGGACACAGAGGGATAGTTTGGGGGTAAGCTGATTGATTGAAAGCCAGGGCATTGTGGGAAAAGAGAATTCTACCCGGCAGCTGCCTGGAGTCTCATTTGGGTGTGTGGGGCTGAGAGTGCCTGTTCCTTTCTTTGTTACCTCTGGCGCTCACTTGCTCACTCACCCCCCGCAAAGTCAGCTGACCCGCTCTGACACAGGTGTCCTGGTATCCACGGCCTCATCCCTGTTTGTAGGCCGGGACAAGGCCGTGGAGGACGACACAGTATCTTTGCGCTCATGTTTGTAGGACACGGCTGTGCCACCAGATTGAGTCTTAGGTGGCTCTTTAGGACAGCCATCACTTTCTGGAGCCCTCTCCTCTTTATAGCTCTTGCTGCTCAAGTCCTGGGGCTCAGTTGGAAGGCTCTTGCTGTCCTTAGGGCTTTCAGGGGACTGAGCAGGGGAGGTGCCCTGGGGCTCCAAAGATGGCTGATGGGGAGGGAGGTGCTGATCCTTCTTGCCAGGAGAAGAGGAAGGGGCAGGGGTTGACACAGCATTGCCACCCCGCCCTTTAGGGCTGCTTTCTTTGCTGCGGCGCCCTGGGCTCTTGGCAGCCGTTCGCTGTCCTTTGGAACTCCATTCCCCTGTGTTGCTTGGAGGAGGAGGACTTGGCTTGGTGATCTCTATACTGACAGCCTCACGTGTCTTACGTTTCTTGATGGGCAATACTGTCTCCCGGACTGCCTGGATGACTGGCTCCTTGACTGTTTTCTTCTTAGCTTCAGCAACAGCTGCTACTGCACTGCTGCCTGGCTTTCGTCCCCGTTTCTTAGGCACAGCCTGGGGATCTGATTCAGGTTTCCGTTTACGCCCAGGACGCTTGATCACCATGACCTGTGCTGAGGTGGTAGCCCCCCCTGTTCCTTCTGCCTTTGCTCCCATCGAAGACGATTGCAAAGGCATCTTGACTAGCAGCTTTCCCGAACTCTTCTCAATTACCCTTTTCACCTGTACGCCTTCTGAAGCAGTTCCTCTAGGTTTGGTAGAGCCACTACCTTTGGGTCGACCCCGTCCACGGCCTGTGCCAGTAGTTTTAGGGGCTTTAGTTTTCTTAGGAGGCTTCTGTTCTCGTCGTGAGGGGCTCCCACGTCCAGTCACCGTGAAATCAAAATCATTAGGATCCAGAGAAGTATCTCCCACCTTCTCAAAGTAGGCGATGAGCTCAACTTTAGAACGAAAGGCCTTGCCTTGGGGGCTGCAGTTTCAGAACCAGAAATATGAGAAAGAACAAGGAAGGGGAGGGGGTGGGAGAGAAAATTAGTGGTAATTCACTAGAGATACACAAGCTAGATTATTACATCGTTCTTTTAAAAAAAACCTCATCTTGCAAGAGTTCTATGCACATGATTCTGTAATCTACAGTATACTCTATACATCAAACATCACACTGCAAATAACCACCAATAAGGGGAGGTTTTGAGCTTTTGCTTTGTGTTGAGCTCTATTTCCCCCCCACTCTTGTATCGTGTATAGCTTTGGTGTGAAAGCTAATAGAAATATAAGGGAGAGTAATTAATACATTGCTAATTTGGATTCCACCTACCCCCTAACACTTTTAATTATGAGAGCTTTGAAAGATGGCCCTTAGAGCTAGCACTCAGAAGGTATTAAGCCACTGTTCTGCCTTTTCTTTTTTAATGGGAAAATGAGTTACAAAGAGCAAATGAAAGGCAGCTGAATATCTGAGCTCCCCTGTAAAATTCTATGAAGAAAACCAATGTGAACGTGTTATCAAAGTTTTGTTTGGAGGTCCTCGACTTACAACTTGTTGTTTAGTGACCATTCAACATGCCAATGGACCTACCTGGGGGCTAATTGCAACCCAGATTTGAAGTTACAAGAGTTGCCACCCCTTGGAATCACATGATTGAACTTTGGGTCCTCGGCAACCAGGCCACATTTGCAGCCATTAGAAGTGTCTGATCTCATTTTATGACAGTTTTGTCGAAAACCAGCATTTACTTCCAATTTTCAGCAAAACTGGCAGCTGCTTAATGACTGCCATAAAAAAGCTCATAAAATTGAGCTGGTCATGTGACCAACCCATTTTACGACTGTTACAAATGTGATAGGCAGGCTCCATTATGGTTGTAAGTCGAGGATTTCCTGTATTCTTTGTTCCTAGTTCTATATCTAAAATAACATCATTTTCCTAAGGGATTGATCAGAGATGTTACAAAGTAAAAGATGCAGAAAATCTACCATGTTTTCAGAAAAAAAACAGAGGAAAAGAAGCAGGTTCTTGTCATGTGATCTTGGCAAAAAACAGCATTACCGAGTGCCTGAATTTATAATGTGCTAATATATATGTATGTCATCACAGGTAAATTCTCTCTATCTACCTGCCCCTGTGCACAGTATGGAAATTCAGATACGATGTGTTTGATAGATCGCTTGCTAAATAACTTAACATTTTGTTAGGATTCTTGTTCTGTATGAAGAAATTCCTTCAACGCTGATTTTATTTATTTATAGCAGCAAAAAATAGCTAATTATAAGGAAATTTCCAGGGAATACCAGGGCTATAAGCTAGATTCTAAGGTTGAAAAAACATCTCAGAAAATGACAATGGCAAACTACTTCTGTACTTCTGCCAAAAAACTCCATGAAATCACTGGAGTTTACCTCAAACAGGTAAGCCTTTACATTTTTCTACTAATGTAAATATTATCTAATGGGCATACCATTTGCAAGTTAAAAAGGGAAGGTTTTATCCTCAAAAGCTACTTTAAAAATGAATTTAAAAATTTAAAAATGTCTGAATTGCAATATTAATATGAAACTGAGTATGAAAAATCATTAGAATAGTTAAGTCTTATTAATTAACATGAATAGAATAGAATAGAATAGAATAGAATAGAATAGAATAGAATAGGAGTAGGAGTAGGAGTAGGAGTAGGAGTAGGAATAGAATTCTAGATGAAAAGATGAGAAATTTCTATGGCAAGTTATATGGCATTTCTGTAGTATTTCTGCTTAATAATTTCATTATTAAAAGTATTTTTTTTAAAGTTCCTGTGATAATCTCTAGTTAGGGAGACAAAGCCCTATGTCTATGCAGTAAGAGAAGCAGAAGCAGAATAATACATTAACCCTTTCCTGACTGTGGTGAAGTATAAATATTTAGTGCTGCTGAGGCATTTTTCCCCTCTGGAAGCATAATTAAATATAAATATATGGGGGATTCCATATAGCATCTAGGGCAGCCCTATATTAATTGTTAATGCCTTTTCTTCTTTATGTTACATTTACTCATATGTAACTTGTATAAAATGCTTGACAACTTCAATTACAAGTTCATTGCTTTCATCTTCAGCTGTTTTTATTGCTTCCTGAAAATCCCAATTGGAAGATTGATGGGTAATTTCTTGAACCTGAACAGTCTTTCTGTAAAATTATCCTGTATTAGTTTCTTTTCACTTGTGTATGCCCATATGGCAAGAACACAGCTGCATACTGCATCAGATTCCAAGAATATATGAGGACAGTTAGAGAGCATTTGTCTGGATTTTTTTTAAAGCAGCATGTCTTTTCCTGCCAGCAATCCCCTCTGCAGCTGCCATGCAATTCCAGGAAAATGTTCATTGATATTTGGATTAAGGAATTGCTACATATACCCTCCCATATACTCCAAAGGATGATTTTGATATCTGAATTCTGCACAGTCCTAGAATGGAAGATTTTTCATTCTAAACCAGTGTTTCTCAACCTTGACAATTTTAAGGCATGTGGACTTCAATTCCCAGAATTCCACAGCCAGCAATGCTGGCTGTGGAATTCTGGGAGTTGAAGTCCACATGCCTTAAAATTGTCAAGGTTGAGAAACACTGTTCTAAACTTTGTCATGTTACTTGTTGTTCGGTAAAAAATGTAAAGGAAGAAATGTTAGTAAGTAAAGAATTCACCACAGTATATGAGGAAAATAAGAAAAAAATGGACCAATTCACAAGCAACAGTACTATTTAGCTTAGAGAAAAAAATGTAGGATTGCAGAAAATTGTTGACAATAATTTAGAAATTATGTCACTGGATATCTCGCAAGGACTAACAAATCCAGAAAGAAGGGATGTGGGAAAGGCCCATATTTCCCACATCTATACACTGCTACAACTCTTGTGTCTGTTTGTTTGTAATCTTCAATTAGCCCAAATGGTGCATGAAAGCACAAACATTTTTTAATCCAGGTACCTCAAATCTGCTAACTTAAAGAATGCTCACAAAATCCAGGATCCATGCAATTGAAATTTCTAGCATCTTTATACTAGTTATATATTCTGGGTGCTGCTGTGTTGCCACAGTTAGCCACAGTCACATGACTGTGATTTCTGACACTCCCTGCCAGCTTCCCACAAGCAAAGTTAATGGGAAAGCCAACAAAAAGTTGGAAATTGTTCCTGCTCCCAACTGCTTTTTTGCCCAACAGTGGTCATTTTGTTTCTCCATTTAGGTAAGGAAATATCTCTGAAATGACCATTGGGTCAAAATAAGCAATTAGCATACTGGCTAGGACATTTTCAGCCTAGTGTATTGTTCTATTTTCAGAAAATAGCATAAGACCTACTGTCTGAAATCAAAGAGAGGTGTAAAAATTAGAGTGAAATTGTGTGCAAGAAACATATACAGTACAATATATAAATAAAAATAAAATAGGATAAATAAATATAATAATAAAATAAAAAAGAGCCTATATTAGACCTTAACATGCAGAAAATCAGTTGAGAGCTATTATCTCCTAATTCCCAGAAAATATAAGGGCTGGCTATAATTACATAAGGAAGAACGCAGTACATACTCAAATATGTTCTCCCTCATATACGCCACTGCTGAATCCTGATCAAAATAAGCTCTTAGACCGGAATATAGTAAGCATATTCCCCCTTTTGAGTTTTGGAGAACAACACATGATGAGAGCAATGCACTGCAAACATACAAGGGCCACTGTCACTCACTTGATAAGATAGACGTCATACTTCCCCGCCGAGCGTCCGGATTTTCTCTGCTTGAGTTTGCGAGTCCAGCCCTCAGGCAAAGTGGGATCATCATACATGGGACCACGATCTCGGATGACAGAGCGGCGCTGTTTTGGAGATGCAGAGGCCTCAGGTACAGCTGGAGCAGTTCCAGCTCCTTCCGACATTTCTGCCTTGCCTGCTTCAGCTGGCTCCACAGAGGGCTGGGCATGCTCACGTTGCTTTTCTTCTTTCCGCTCTTTCTTGACTTTTTTACATTTGGAGGATTTGTCCTTTAGACCTTGTAAATCTTGGTCCTCAGATTTTTCTTCCCTGCAAAATAGAGAAAAAGAAAGATCTTGAATGCTTAGCATATCATACAACAATATATTATCAGGACTGATAGGTGACATAAGAACTCATCTACAGCCAAAGTCACATTCATAAATACTCTATGATAGCTGTTTTGAGACATGTGACAGGAAGATGGAAGGGGTTTGAATGCAACAGCTACCTATCTCTCTTTGACTCAAGGATACAATGGGAGAACTTTTTCTGGATTTTCTTGTCTACAGTCTCTGGCCTCAGGTGGTCCATTTTCAAACTTGAAATGTTTGTATTTTATTTTGTATACTTCTCCCCTCATATAAAATTGGTCCCATTCCATTAAGTTTCTGAGGATCTATCCATAAATAATACATTTTTCCAATACTTCCATCGGGCTGGGCAGAATTAAATAAGTGTGCTGTATACTTTTGGCAACAGCAGAGGAATACATTTGATTCAGTGGTGCCATAGGTATATCTCTGTAGGACTACTACAATGATCGGCTGTGCTCTTTTTGTTACTTAAACATCTCTCAGAGGTCACATACTAACATAACTATATTTTTCTATGTGTGTATTCCAGAAATATCTTCCCTGAAGAGCTCCAACTTACAGACAGGTTTATAATTCTACAGCTGGTTTAATTAAACAGAGAAAGCCAGTCAATACTATTTTTGTCTGGTATGAAGAGGCAAGAGTTCTTGCTAATTTCATATGCAGCAATATCACAGCACATAACTCAGTTGTTAGATTCTATTATGTAAAAAGACACTTTTTTCACTTCCATTCAATTATGTCTGATACTCAGAGACTGCCTGGACAAGTCCATGCAGTTTTCTTGGCAAGATTTTTTTAGAAGTGATTTGCCCCTGCCTCCTTCCTAGGGCTGAGTGTATGACTAGCCCAAGGTCATTTAGCCCGTTTTCGGCTCGTCGGACCCCTTGGCGGTGAGGCCTGGGGACCCCCCCCTCGGGTTTGTTCTAGTCCGCCCGGCCCGTTTTCGGCCCGTCCTCGACCCGAGTCGGCCCGTATTCGGTGGGAGGGCCTGGGCCGTGACTCGGGCGGCTTGGAGGGACCCGGGCGGTTCGAAAGGACTAGGGTGGTCGGAAAGAACTTTGGCCGGGAAGATCTCCGGCGGCCTGGTGATGGGGCCTGGTTTTAGGCCACTACTTGACTCCCTGGCCCGGGCGCTGGCCTGTATCGGCTGGTCGGACGGCCTGGCGGTCGGCCCGTTTTCGGCCTGAAGAAACATC